CAGTACTGGAACGGATTTGTTCTTCTTCCAAACAGTGTCGGAAAACCAGGTAATCTGTATATTTTGCATATTTTCCTACATCAATTTCAAATCGCTTTTGCTTTTTGACTTCCTTAAGGGATCTGTCAAGTTTGTGCCACTGAAATGTCATGAAATACTAAGCATGCGTAAGGTGGTCTTCGAAGTATTGTAAAATCAATCTATTAACTAAATCTGCTGTAGGGGGCAGGATTGGAATACCTGAGTTGTGCTTCTGAACTGCGGTTTTCACTTTACTTACACGACTTAGAACTCCACTGTTTTGCTGATCAGAATCTATTAATAACGTTCTCTGTTTTGTTTCTTGATAGGTTTGCGGAAAAGCTCTTTCAGTCCAAATTTTGAAATTTAGACGCCGTTTTTAATTTAAGCCTAGGGTTTATTGTGAAGTGGTTCCATAAAAATATTTTTCTATATTTCGATAAATAAGCAATGACTATTTCTTATTTAAATCAGCTATTTGTTTCTCAGTGGTTTGAAAAAGTATCTTTAGGTGTTACCTCCCCGTTATTAGCGAGAAGTAGCGCCTCAAAATTTCCTGTGAAGTTATACTCACTTGGTAGATTGTTATGTTCCTCATGGCGTAATAATCGAATTAGACGGCGGATTTTATTAACACAACAAGAGGAATAGTAAGACGAGAATCAAGAACTTTATTTTGAATAGTAACCGACTACTTATTGCTACAGGAGAGTCTTGTATAGGTATTTAGCAGAAACAGATCAGATATACATGCTGAGGGCTAAGAATCCACATTTGTGCTAAGGCAGATATAGTGAACTCTCGATACAGCACATGAGCTATGGTAACATCGCAACACGTATAGCAGAGTCTTATTCTTCGGATAGCTACTTAGGTCTTGTCTGTCAAAGTGAATCGTCTAGTAGTTGGTCCGTAGTGCATTCTCGGACAGGAATGTCGCTGAATTTTCTTTTCCAGCTGTAAGCATAGGTTTCATTTGCTGAGCGTTTCATCTTTTCTATTTTAGACATTTTGGCCAAAAGCTACCAAACTTTTTGGCTTTTATTCCACTGCTGTATTCATTTTGAGCAAACAAAGTTTTAGATTTTAAGTAGTATTATACCTAACAGAACTGTTTCAATTAGCTCTTTAAATAATTTTAGTCCTGAGTTGAAGTTGTTTCTTTCTTTTTTTTTTTTTTTTCTCATTGCTTCCTGGTCTTTCTGACTCAGATGCTCGGCTATTGTAGGACCGACCTTGTAAATGCAGGAAAAACTTAAAATGAGGCAAGCAAACTTTAGCACGTTTCTGGCCTGCAAGTGCTACGATAAAGGGGACGTACTAAAAAAAAGTTTGATCGATTTCTTCTTCACGTTTGGTAATTCGAATCTTTTGACTGTTTTGGAAATCCACCACTTCTCCTTAGAACTTCTTCAGCAGCTCAAAGAAATGTAGAGCGTAAATGAGCAGTGATTATTGCTTATTTTTGGTACATTTACGTACAGAATATTTCTTGAGCAGATATATATATCTATATATTTAAGCCATTCCACGCCAAGTCGCACGAGTTTGCAAGTCCACCTCTCAGATTTTTCCATTCCTTACCCACTTGTAGCACTTGATACTGTATATGAAATCGAAAGAGTTTACCTTAAAAAGTGCGCTGACGGCAAAATTTGACCGTTCTGAACAGCGAAGAAGAAAGCAATTCACCTTTGACATGGTCATCTTAAGCAACTTATCTTTTTCTCAGTATTCAACGGAAATTTCCTCATACGTCATTCATAAGTGTT